ATGCCCATGTTTTGCCAACCCTGTATACTCATCAGAGGAGAGAAAAATATTTGGAAGTTTTTACCAATTAAAATTCAATTCTCAGATTCCTGGGCTGCTTTGATGCTGGGTTGGATGTCTTATTACTGAACTCTCTGAGATGCTGCTTTGCATCAGCTTGTTAGAATGATATCATGGTCTATTTAAAATGATACCATGGTCTATTTATAGCTGCAGCTTGACCTTATAAGTCATCTGGGGATAGGCATATCATAATAGTATCTGTTTTCCAGAGACAAGATGGCATTGTCCCTGCTGTTGAAATTGTATCATTTAAATGTCATATTTAGTGTATAGCTTAAATATGACATTCATAGAGTTGTGATTTTCAGTGATCAGAGTCATGATAATCTTTTTTGCTTTCTTGGTCTTTTGAGACAGGGTCTCCCTGTGGCCTCAGCTGGCCTGAAATTCTCTGTAGTTCAAGCTGGCCTTAATCTCACAGAGATTGACTTGCTTCTACCTCCTGAATGCTGGGATTGATTAAGGCCTGCACCACATCCACATCTGGCTTAAAATCATAATCTTTATGTGTAATATTTTTCTTTAAAAATTCACAGCTAATCTGTGAATCTTCTCTAACTCATTCTGGCAGTCCAAGATTATAGCAAATCAATGTTTCAGAAAATTACAAGTGCTAAAAATGTTGGAAACTGGTCCTTCTTTCTTGAAATATGTTGTCTCAAGTCACCTGAATAGTTTTTTATAGGAACCTCCAAATGAAAAATGAAACTGTGGGGTTTGAAGAGATGGCCCAGTGGTTAAGAGCACTCACTAGTAGATCTTACAGAGGACCCAGGTTTGAATCCCAGTCCACATGGTGCTAATGACTGTAACTCCAGTTCCAGGGAATCTAAGCCCTCTTCTGACCTCTGCAGGCACTGCATGATATGGTGTACTTAATGTACATGCAGGCAGTGCAGTCACACAAATAAAAATAAACTTCAAAAAAAGAAAGAAACTGAACTTTGAGAATGTAATGAAGTATTACTGTTTTCTCTACATATATTGAACACTCTCCCTACAGGGTTTACTACTGTGATTAATTTTCACTAAAACATTAATAAATTTAATGAGAACATTTATTTAAGCTTCCATGTTTCTCAGAGTATAATAAATTGGAGCATTGATCCTGTAGTAGACATGATGTTATTACCTCCCTTTACATATTTTGCTTTGTTATCATATGCTGCCTGTGCTGGATAGCTTTAGTGTCAACTTGACACACCTGGGTTGAGGGAGCCTCAGTTGGGGAATTGCCTCTATTGGACTGGCCTGTGGCCATGTCTCTGGGGAATCTTTTTGAATAGCGATGTGGCAGAGCCCAGCACACTGTGGGTGGTGCCACCCCTGGGCAGATGGGCCTGTGTTGCATAAGAAAGCAGGCTGAGCAGGGGCCAGGGAGCAAGCCAGTAAGCTGTGTTCCTCCATGGCCTATGCTCCAGCTTCTGCCTCCAGGTTCCTGCACTGAGTTCCTACCTTGGACTCCCCTATGAGCTTTGACCTGGGAGATGTAAACCTTTTCCTCCCCAAGTTGGTGTTGGTCAGAGTGTTTTGCCACAGCAATGAAGAAACAAACTAGGACACTGCCTAAAAAGCGATGTTGTCAGTACTTCTAATGTTTGGATTGGAATTATCTTTATTGATCTGAACCCACTTCTGCTATACCCCGTGTGTTTTCATTTGTAGAATCTCAAATTGATTCCTTTTCAGCTCTGTTTAGTTAGACCTATCATTTAATTTCTACATGAATTACTGCCAAGTTTGAACTTGATTTTTCTCTAGTGTGTCATTTCATACTGATTTGAAGTGTAGGGCTTTCTACATTGTTAAATTTCACACTGTGAGCTTGGTCTATCACTCTGGCCTGTAGAGTTCTTACAGTTCATATTTGGTCTTCCATTTTAAGCTGTTCTCCATAGGGTTGTGTCAATTTTAGGTGACTGAGTTGAAAGGAGAGATTACAAACTGGCAAATCTATCTATTGGTGGCTTTTATTTGTTAATTGTTTATGTTGTTGAAGAATGGTTTTAGTTAAGTCTTAAACTGATTTACAAACAACTGTTCCTTATATTACATATTCTGGCTATACCTTTACATTTGTTACTTAGTCATTGAAGGCATTTAGTTTTGGAAACCACTGTCAAATGAAATCACTTACAGTTTTCACAACATTGCTGTCACAAAAATACCAAAGGAAAACAACTTTTAAGTAAGAAAGGCTCATTTCAGCTCGTAGGTTAAGAGGTTTCAGTCCATGCTCAGCAATCTCCATTATTTTTAAGTCCTTGACAACCTAAAAACATCATGACAGAAAGGTATGGTGGAGAAAAAAGCAGCTTGCTTCAGAAAGAGAGGAGGGAGCGGCAGGGGGAAGGGAAAGAGGGAGGGAGAGTTTTAATTCTTTCCTTTGACAATGTGCTATTCCTCCCCTTTGGTTTTTTGGTTTTGGTTGGGGGGGGCTCTTTTTGAGACAAGGTCTCCCTGTAGCCCCAGCTAGCCTGGAACTCCCTATGTAGACCAGGCTGGCCTCAAACTCCCTTGCCTCTCACTCCCAAGTGCTGGCTTACTAAAAGCACGTGCCACCGTGCACAGCTATTCCTCCCCCTTTGAAATAGGAATATTAGCTATTCCTCCCCGTTTGAAATAGGAATGTTAGCCAGACGCGGTGGTACACACCTTTAATCCCAGCACTTGGGAGGCAGAGGCTGGCGGATCTCTGAGTTCAAGGCCAGCCTGGTCTACATAGTGAGTTCCAGGACAGCTGGGGCTACATGGCTACCCTGTCTCAAAAAGACCAAAAACAAAACAAAACAAAACAAACAAACAAAAAGGATTATTTACCCTATCCCACCATTGTGTATTGGAAGTATGAAACTTTTCTTAAAAAATAAATTTGACAGGGCTCATAGCTTATTAGTTTGCTTTGAGTTTTAGGAAACTTGGGATTTGGACTTTTGAGCTGTGTTGGAGCTGTTGATCATGGAAACTGTTGGAGATGGACTACATGTATTTTATAAGCTGGAATATTGTTTTTTTTTTTTTCTTTCTGCTATTTTCACATTCAGTTCAAATAGTAAGAAACTAGGTTAACCACACTTCATATATGTATGCATGTGTATGTATGTATATATATTTTAATAGTATATGAAATTGGGTGGAGTGTTAAGGGGGTTGCTGTTAGGGGAGGGCATCTAAATATGATAAAAATAAATTGTTTGAAATTTGCAAAAATTTAATTTCAAAAAGGAGAGTAAAGAATATCAGCTACACTTGATCTTAGCTGAAAGATAGAGGCATGGGCCATACTAAGAAAAACTATTTAAAAAAAATATTTTATTTTATTTTGTGTGTATGTGTGCATTGCCTGCATGTAGGTAAGTGCACCCGTATCGTGCAATGCCTGCAGAGGACAAAAGAGGCTGCCAGATCCCCTGGAACTGGAGTTACGGACAGTTGTTAGCTGCCATGTGGGTGCTGGGATTCAAACCTGGGTCTTCTGCAAGAACAGCCAGTGTTCTTAACCACTGAGCCATCTCTCCAGCCCCTCTTTTATACTTGTCCCTGTATCTCTTCTGTAGCAACTTTTGACCCACAGGAAATGCTCAGTAAATACTGAAATTGAAGCTGTTTACTTGAGTTTGATAAGTGAAATGATTTCAAGTTAAGAGATTATGCAAGTTTGCCTTCAGTTTTAACCACTTGGTAGCCAGCGGTGAGTCTCCACTATATTTTCTGCTTCAGTTTGCCCAATTGGCACTGTGCTTTCCTCCTCTTTCCTATTTGATTGCGGTTTCTTTCTCAGCTAGTTTGAGCTTATGTCTTCATGCTGCTAAGAATGGATACTTTATTAAAAGCCCGCCGTGGTGGCGCACACCTTTAGTCCCAACACTTGGGAGGCAGAGGCAGGTGGATCTCTGTGACTTCAAGGCCACCTGGGGCTACAGGGAAACCCTGTCTCACTTCCACCACCACCCCCCCGAAAAAAAAGAAAAAAAAGAATGTATACTTAAACACAAGGCTATTGATAAATTTGTGAATACTGTCTGATTACTCTGTTTTGTTTTGATTAATTATACAGTATAATTTATTATTACTGTCTGGTAAGGAAGTTTTTTTTTGTTTTTTTTTTTTCCTTTATTTTTATTTTTTTTTATTTTTTGGTCTTTTTTGGACAAGGTCTCCTTGTAGCCCCAGCTGGCCTGGAAGTCATCCTTTTTGTTTAAAAAAAATTTATTTTTATGTGTATGAGTACATTGCCTGCATGTGTATAAGTGCACCCATATTGTGCAGTGCCTGTGGAGGTCAGAAGAGGGCATTGGATCCCCTGGAACTGGAGTTATGGATGGTTGTTAGCCACTGTGTGGGTCCTGGGAATTGAACCCAGGTCCTCTGCAAGAACAGTCACTACTTTTAACCACTGAGCCATCTCTCCAGCCACATAGGATATTTTTTTTTCCTGGAGGTTAGAAACATTTTGGTGAGTATCTACATTAGCCTTTCATATTGTAGTTGAAGAAATTGAAGCCTAGGTAGACTAGGTAACTTGTACACACTAGTTAGCAGCAGTGCCAAGACTAGAAATCTGGTTTCTTGGCTTTCAACTCAATACTATCCTTACTGTTATGCCATCTTTCCTGATAGGATATGAAGACATTGATTTTCAGCCTAGAAAATAAGAAATTTTATGATAGATGATACCTTCTAAAATCATGATATCCCATATATATAAGTGATATGATTGGGAGCCTTAACAATACTGGAATTAGAAAGTATAATAGACTCATTTTTCCAGCTCCAGCTATATTAATCATGTGTAGTTAAAATTAAACATATGAAGCTTTTCTATTAGAATATGAATAAGTGGATGTATAGAGAATTTACTCTAATTTGAATGCTTAAAATCAGTTTCTAATTTTTTTTTTTTTTGTTTTTGTTTTGTTTTTAAAATCTTCTTTCAGAAAGATGAGGTCTACCTTAATCTGGTGCTGGACTATGTTCCGGAAACAGTGTACCGAGTTGCCAGACACTATAGTCGAGCCAAACAGACACTCCCTGTGATCTATGTCAAGGTATGTAACAATGGAACAGTTTCCCATTTATAAAATATTTAATGTGACCTAAGGAAAGTACTGGCTATAAGTTCTATTGTACTTAATATTCAGGAGCAAACTCTAGATTTTGTTAAATTGCTATACAATTTGTGTGTGTGTGTGTGTGTGTGTGTGTGTGTGTGTTTGTTTTGAGACAGGGTCTCCCTGTAGCCACAGCTGGCCTGGATTCACTATGGAGACCAGGCTGGCTTTAAGCTCACAGAGATCCGCCAGCCTCTTCTGGGATTAAAGGCATGCACCACCATGCCTGGCTTTAAATTGTTGCATAATTTTAAATATGCAGTCCCTTTTAAGCTTTCATTACTCTTAATAGTAAAGATACCCTGAGGCCAGTGAGATGGCTCAGTAAAGGCACTTACTGTGCAAGCCTCATGAACTGAATTTGATCTCTTGAATCCACATAAAGATTGAAGAAGAGAACCGACTCCACAAAGTTGTCCTGACCACATGTTCACTCTGACATCTGTACCCTCCTATAGACACATTATACACACACACAGAGTAATGATAAATTAATTAAAATAGATATTCTAAAATATGATTTTTTTCCCACAAGTATGGATTTTAATTCTGATAGCCATAATGTGTGTACATTTGTATGAATGCTGCATGCATGTATACATACCCATACATGCACAGATGGAGGCCAGAGGAGGATGTTTGGTTTCTTCCTACATAGAGGCCTTATTGCTTTGAGGCAGTTTCTCACCAAACCAGAAACTCATAGTGGTGGTTAAGCTGAATGGCCACTGAGCTCCTGGAGTACTATTGTTTCTGCCCTCCAGTGCTGGTGGGACAGGCAGCTGGGATGCTGGGAATTCAAAGAGATTCTCCCTCGTGTTTGTTTAGCAAACACTCTGACCCACCGAGTGGGGCTGTATCTCCCCAGCCCCTATAATACCTTTTTATTTAGTTTCTGGTGTCTCTATTATGGCATAGATCAAAACAGGAACCTGTTATTATATAAACTTAAATAAAAATTTATAGTTAGGCATATGTTCATATTTAATGTTTTATTGCCATTTACAGACACATTTCTTGCATCCATAGTAGAAATTTAAATTTTTGGCAGTTTTAAACATGATAGGTATTATTTAGTTTTTAGTTTACAATTTCATTTATAGAACTAATGCCAAAGCAGCGAGGAGTTTTATCTAATATAATGCTGATTACAGTTGTGGGGAAACACTTTTTTTCTTTTTTGGTAGATGGGGTGAGGGAAGGATGGCCAGGATCTTACTTTGTAGCTCAGGCTGATATAGAACTTGTGATACATGAAGCGATCCTCCTGCTTCAACCTCCTGAGTCTTAGGATTACAGATGTGAATTGCCACATCCAGTTTAGAAATGGATTATTTCCATTACCTGTGCTATTAACTAGGAGTTAACTTTGAAACATTTTTCCCCTCCTCTAGAAATTTATTTTGAGACAGGTTCTCATGTAGTACATCTGGTCTCAAATGTGCCCTGGTAGCTGAGAATGACCTTCAACTTACGATGCACCTGCATCTGCATCTCATGTGCTGAAATTAAAGATGTGCACCATCATGCTTAGCTAGGAGTTACATTGAAAGTTAAAATACCTTTTTACCTATAACTGGGCATGTCATACCTGTAATCTCATACTCATGAGGCTAAGGCAGGAAGAATTTGAGGCCAGCCAGAGCTACATAAGAAAGACTCTGCCTCAACAAAAGAAAAGAACTATCTATAATATAAAGAAACATAAAATTTTACCCTTTAGAAATGACTGTTGCAAATAAAATATCAATTCAAAATGTTTAATGTTCACAGTTTTGATGTTTTTTTTTTTTTTTTTGAGGCAGGGTCTCTCTGTAGCCCCAGCTATCCTAGAACTCCCTATGTAGACCATGCTGGCCTCAAACTCACAGAGATCCATCCACCTCTGCCTCCCGAGTGCTGGGATTAAAGGTATGTGCCACCACACTTGGCTTTGATGGTTTGCTTAATTGTTACAATTACAGTGGGTTGAATGCAGAAACATTAACAACAGACTTTTGGGACATTTGGTAGAGAGACCATTTTGGCTTATCAAAAATTTTTTGAGACTGTGGATAAATTGATGTTAGTAAAAACTAAAGACAATTTTTTTCCACACATTTATTGAATTACTGTATTCTGGTTTTAGATTTGCTAATCCAACCTCAAATTAACTAGCCCAGCAGTCTGTCACTTTGAATTTGAACAGAGTACTTAATTCAGAATGATGATGGCTTGGGTCTGCCTACTCTGTGGACTTCATTATTGCCAGTTCAGAGGCACAATTAAGAAGCAGAAGACATAGTTTTGAAAGCTATAGTTTTGCTACTTGTTACATGCTTTTAGACAAGTCACTGATCCATTCTTCATGGAACTTACACATTGGCAAATCTGTACTTTTCTGCCTGTGACAGTATTGTTGGTGTGTAAAAGGAGATTAACATATATGAAAGCATTATGAAGCTATAAAGTAGAAGTAATCAAAGATTGTAATGGGATTTTAGAAAGAGTGAATTGTTGTGGAATAACTGGTATATAGCAGTTGAACTAGTTTTTTGTTCTAGCTCATTAGTTGAACAGGTAAGTGCCAAGTGATTGCATAGTAATCTGATTCCTCATCAAATGTTTTCTTATTCCTCTCATAAACAGAGAAGAACTACATAAATAACTATGAAGCAAAATGGAATGTATGTTATGACAGTGGTTCAAGAGTTACAAATGCCATATTCTTTTTAGTTGGCAAAAATCTCCTTGGAAAAGAGAAGGGCATAACAATAACTGTTGGTCAATCTATCCTTTAGGCTTACCCACCTGTTCACAAACCACTGTTGATCCCTACTGAATACTACCTACTTTCCTACTTTTTAAAAATAAGCATTTAAAACTTTAGCTTTAAAATTTTTATTATAATGTATTTAGTCTGAAAATTTCATAGATGTATACAGTGCGTTTTAATCATATTCATCTTCCCCAATTCCTCCAACTCCCCTGGCTACTTCCCAGTGTATCTTCCTTCCAGCTTTTGTCCTTTAAAAAAAAATAACCTACTGAGTCCAATTAGGGCTGCCCACATGGCCATGTGTTTGCCATCATCCCCAGGGGCATGAACAACTGCCGAGCCACTCCTCTTCAAGAAAAGTGACTTTGCTTCTCCCAGCAGCAGCCAACATTTGCCAGTAGTTCCTCAGCTAGAGGTAGGGCCTTGGGAACCCCTTCATGGTGTAACTTTTCTAAAAAAATCCTTTTTAGACAGGGTTTCCCTGTAGCGCCAGCTGGCCAGGAGCTCAACCAAAATAGACCAGGCTGGCCTTGAACTCACAGAGATCCTCCTACCTCTGTCTCGCTGGGATTAAAGGTGTGTGCTGGGATTAAAGGTATGTGCCACCATGCCTGGCCCCTGGTGGAGTTTTTAATGGGCTTGATCTTAAGCAGGTCTTAGAGGTAACCACAGTTGCTGTGAGTTGGTGTGTTCATGTGTGTCATGTCCAGAGGACAGCATCTCACAGTATTAAGATGTTGTGAAATGATTTTCTATTCAAATAATATCTCTGCAGAAGTTTTTATTATTTTAAGTCTTTTCCTTTAATTACTCTAAATATTTGTTTTTAGTGTTAATAAATTTTAAGTATATACAAAAGTACAGAAAATAGGTGACTAAACCCCATGTACTCATCTATCCATCACAGAGCTTCAGTCATCACTTCATAGTCAGTTTTTTTCTCATTGGTAACAACTTTAATTCTTCATTCCCCTTATTTGTTTAAGTTGAAGATACTATTTTCATGTGTGAATACTAGAGCATATTTATAAAAGATAGGGAGTTTCTTTTTTCAAAGACTATTATATAACCAAATATTAATGTACTTATACAAATAGTATTTTGTTAATATTAAATTTTATTTATGATCCCAATATCTTATTTTTAAATGTTTTTCTTCATTTGAATTGACATCCAAGTAAGTCTTCTGTTTGGCCGATGAGCTTTTAAGATTTCTTTAAATCTGTGGGTTTTCTCTAATACATTGTCAAAGAAACTAGATCATTTACTAGTCTAGGTTTTGCTGTCAGATTTCTTTAGTTGGCGATAACATGTTCCTCTGTCTTGTGTTTCTTGTAAACTGACAATTAGATAATTGGTAATTAAATGTTTTGGTAGGAGTTAAGACTACATATGTAGTGTTAGATGATTTTTAAAAAATATTTTTATTTTATGTGTGTGTGTGTATTGCCTGCATGTAAATAAGTGCACCATGTCAAGCAATGCCTGCAGAGGACAGAAGAGGCTGTCTGATCCCCTGAAACTGGAGTTACGGACAGTTGTTAGCTGCCATGTGGGTGCTGGGATTCGAACTCAGGTCTTCTACAAGAACAGCTAGTGTTCTTAACCACTGAGCCATCTCTCCAGCCCCTTGATGATTGTTTTTTAAGGAGGAAAAATTGTTGTTTTTGATGCTGTTAGCCTTTGATGACTGTTGCTTAAAGTCATCAATTCATCAAGGATTATAAAATGTTGATATTTTATTATTTGTTGTTAACTAATAAGATGGAATAATTCCATGATGATTTTCCTATGTGAACTATTTATACCTAAAGATATGGCTTATTTTTTTAAACAATTATATATAAAACAATGATTTCATTTTAATATTTTATACATATATTTTGATCATAATCGCACACTCCTTACCTTCTTGTTCCCTTTTCTTTCATCTTCCCAACTAACCTTTTTCAACATTCATGTCATGTATATCAGAGAGAGAGAGAGAGAGAGAGAGAGAGAGTGAGTGTTTCATTCGGGTTGTTTATGGAAGCATGGTTGGCTACACCACTCAACAATTAACTGCATATAACTTCTCAGGGAAGGGTTGGATCCTGTGGGTTCCTCTCCCTTCTATGATATGGTTTTGACAGGCTCACTCTTGTGCAGGTAATCATAGCTACTGTGAATTCAAGAGTGA